TACCCATTAATCTATGACGATATCCATAAATAATCTAAAAAAGTTGACAGTAACGAGTGATGTTTTTTTTCATGTCGTGTCTATACCAGCCTCGTGTCTAAGATGTTGATTGAAATCGGTGTAGGCCTACCATGTTCGGTGTTCTTACGATCGGCAAAACATACACACACTGGCATTTTATTTCTAAAATTACGAAATCTTACCTGAACAATTGACCTTAACCAGGGAAATGTCTTTTTCCACGACTCATCAAAACCAGCCTCACGCCGTTTCCGTGTTTCTACACGCTTCCGTTTCTGTGCTGTGCTAGCGGTGATTGTACGTTTTAGCCGGGCGGCATCACCTTTTTTTCCTTTACATGTTTTGTCATATAGCATCTCGGTGTTTGCAACTTGAGTGACAATTTGTTCCCCATTGACAGCGTCTGTACTTCACACGTGTTTAACAATGGGACTGTTTAATTTGTCCCAGCAAGTTCAAACCGCCGTGGCGTAGACGGTGATAATTTATGCAGTGCTACGTGTGAGCGGGTCAAATGGACGTAAACAATGCATCCTATTAGCATGGCGGTGAAGTTGTAAGCATGGCGGTCCGAGCCCAAGCATGGCGGTGCCGCCATGCTTTGTTCTATGTGGGGAGAACACTGTTAAGGTAATCTCCCATCAAATGCTTGCGTAGGTTGTAGTGAGGATCTTCCATGATTTCCCCAATTCGCGTTACTTACAATGTGACTATATGGAAATTGGGGTGTAAAACATGTTTTATTAGGAGAAAACCGACAGAATCCATCACCTCTAAAGGTCAACTCAGCTGTCATTCTGGGTTCTTCAAATTTCTGTGGTCTTGTTTTTCTTATGTAATTATCATTGTTTATAATCCCCAAATAAACAATGATAACATTTTTGTTGAATTTTGACTTACATAAATTTTCCTACAACAACATAAAAGATCTCATAATATTTTGTTCACACCAGTGTCTTTCATAAGATGCGTAAATATGGTGGCCACTGAATTATGTACATGTGGAGAGTTTTCTAGTGATAACAAATGTTAAACTGTGAAAAGTACAATATGCTTTTAGATTAGATTTTCGGCCAAGGGATTTCAACTAAGCTTTGCTGACAATACAATTTAAAATACATATGAAGCCCTACAAGAATGCATAATTTACTGCTGTGAAAGACAGGAGATGAATAGAGTTTTAATCCATTATGATAAACACCACACCAACTATGATAAGGATCACTGATAACGTAGGGAGTGGAGTGTAATAGAATTAAGACAAATTTTGATTTTAAAATTCTTTATTGAAAATTAACACAAGTTATTCCAACTCCCTGTATTCTTGTATATGTTTTGAATGGGTTGGGGAATGTTGCTAGCCCTGACAAAGTAAGAAATGTGCTTTTGTTTGTGTCTGGTCCAGTGTTCTCCCCAGGATGTCAACAGCGTGGCGGTCCCGCCACAGTGCTTCAATTTTCCGCCACACCGGTCTGACACCGCCACGGTGATTAGCAAGACCGCCACAGTGCTTTTTTCATTGGGGATCTCGTCACGCTGGTTGTGATATTGTTATAGTATTATACTAACTTACCGACCGACACGCGTCCTGCCAGTCGTGGATAATAATTTGTAAACAATAGACATAGTCGCACGATGTGGTAGCGACTTTAAACAATACAAGTCAATTTATTAAAATTACCATCTCTTTGTTTGTAAGTAAATACTTTCTGACGATAGACGCAGTCTTTAGATTGAAAGCTAAGATTCTTTAAAAATCAATTCCACCCCGATGTAACATGGGCAAAACGGAGTTCGCGATCAGTTTACGCTACTCAAGAAAAAACAATTTGTTTATTGCGTGATTGGGTAAAATACATTTCAACTGTTATCATCGTGAATCATGTAAAAACTCTTCTTTCAAGACTTCTTTTACCTTTTAAAAATTGCTAATCACCTCTTTCGAAAACCATCATGCAGTTTTCATCTGCAATCCATACCAAGACATCGTGCTACGACATCGCTTTACCTTCGCAATATAATTTTTATGATCACTACCATTCGGAAAACTTCGGGTTCTATCGGCATTACCATGCGGCACTCTGATTGGTTAATGGCGTTTTTGTCCCATCGGGTCAAAGGACACATGCCGGTCAACTAATGCGTCACAACTATCATGGCGGGTCTGTGATTTTCACCGAAGTGACCAAGTGATCAAAAATAATTGCTCCCGATAAAACTAATTCAAATTTTACGTTTTTTTCATATAAAAAAAGAAGTAACATTTTTTGCATGGCATCATGACCTAATAAGAGGAATTATTTATATAATCGGTGTATAACATCGCGAAGTAAGTTATGGCACGTCGTAACTTTGATGATTGTTTAGAAGTGTTATTTGTTCGTTCATAACTGTAAATGTAAATGTTGTAGAAGCTGATGGTCGAAATAATAACCAGCAATCCGTCAAATAACGTGGTCGATTTTTTGAAGGAGAATTTTGGTAGTAAATAAGATCATGAACGTCGTGAACATAATCCTGGCTGAAACGTTTCAAATGAGTTTCATTTAACCTTTTACAATTTGTTTGTTTCTTTTCAGTCGGCAGCACTTGCAATTCGAGAATATTTCATTTTTAAATTCAAACTCTTCTAAATTGTGAAACGTAATATTTTGACTCCAATAAAAAAAATATTTGCACTGTGACGGAGCTCATTAATATTACAAAGTGCCCAAAATAAAGCAAATAAATATCTGCCACTTTGTTTTTGAAAATATGTTGTTCATTGTGTTGGTGTAAATGTGCTTTGGTCAATTTCTATTATTATGTAAATGATATGCAAATTAGGTCGCCACAGTGGTTTAAATTCCTGAGGAAAACACTGCTGGTCTAATGTGCATCTGCACTGTAATTATGTATGACTATGTAAATGAGCAGTCTCTGTAAAACACTTTGAGTAATTGACTGGGAGGCATTTGGTAAGCAGTCTTCTCAGATTTGTGTTTTTTAGCTCCGCTGTCGACTTTGTCGAGCGGAGCTTATCATATGAGTGATTGTCCGTCGTCGTCCGTGTCAATGTTTTACTTTTTCGACTTCTTCTTGAAAACTACAAGCCTGAATGCTTTGATACTTCGTGTGTATGTACCTTGGGTAGACCTCTCTCAGATTTGTTCATTTGATGATATCTTCAATTCTCTAATTTTGGTGAATATTTTTGTCATTTTTGGTAAAAAGTGATATTTTCAACTTCTTGTTAAAAACCGCAAGTCCAATTGCTTTGATATTATATATATTGGTACTATACATGTAGACCTCTCTCACATTTGTTCATTTTGTAATGATATCTTCAATTCTCTCATTTTGGTGAATATTTTTGTCATTTGTGGTAAAAAATGATATTTTCGACTTCTTGTTAAAAACCAAAAGTCCAATTGCTTTGATATTACATATATAGGTACTACATGTGTATCTCTCTCAGATTTGTTCATTTTGTGATGATGTCTTCAATTCTCTAATTTTGGTGAATATTTTTGTAATTTTTGGTAAAAAGTGATATTTTTGACTTCTTGTTAAAAACCAATAGTTCAATTGCTTTGATATTACGTATATAGATACTACATGTAGACTTTTCTCAGATTTGTTCATTTCGTGATGATATCTTCGATTCTTTAATTTTGGTGAATATTTTTGTCATTTTTGGTAAAAAGTAATATTTTCGACTTCTTGTTAAAAACTGTAAGTCCGATTGCTTTGATATTACATATATAGGTACTACATGTGGACCTCTCTCAGATTTGTTCATTTCGTGATGATATCTTCGATTCTTTAATTTTGGTGAATATTTTTGTCATTTTTGGTAAAAAGTAATATTTTCGACTTCTTGTTAAAAACTGTAAGTCCGATTGCTTTGATATTACATATATAGGTACTACATGTGGACCTCTCTCAGATTTGTTCATTTTGTGATGATATCTTCAATTCTTTAATTTTGGTGAATATTTTTGTCATTTTTTGTAGAAAATGATATTTTCGACTTCTTGTTAAAAACTGTAAGTTCGAATGCTTTGATACTATACATATTGTTCATTTTCTAATGATGTCTTCAGTTCTTTAATTGAAATGTGCATTGCTAACAGCGGAGCTATCTCAGCCGATAGGCTGTTTGTTTTGCTTTGTTGAAAGTTTACAGCCGTTCTGAGAATTATTCAGTCACTTTGCAATATATGTTGGAACTTAGCAAAACACTTGGGTCTTTTCCAATCTGGACTTGATGGCGCCGTTGTATTGGCACGCCCACGATTGGAATCATTCCATTATCTTGCAAGTATGAGTAAAACGACGTTTTCAAAATGACACGCGTTGGTTATATGTTGTATATGCATTCAAAGCGTTATTTTAAATTGTTTTAACCATCTGAGTCCACCTGACATTACAAAACAACTCCCGAGTGTTGAGTAACCCCAGATATTAATGAACTCGTCGTTGGCGGGAAGGCTCAAAGTAAAGTTTCCTAGCGGAACGCGCTGCAGTTTCGCGACAGTTTTGGGTCAAACTAAAAGTTGTGTTTACATTACTGGTGCTGTGAGTACGTCAGGGATACACAGACAGAAAACTTGATTATAATGGTTTGATGGATTTTGTCAAATCAAAAGTGCCTTCCTTGATCGAATCACTTTTTCAACTGCAGTTTGAAAATGTCGGAATATAACGACCGTTATTATGTCTAGTCCATTTTTGTAACAGGTACAACTGACTAAAATGAGCGAGGGGTTGACAAATTTGTGACAGATTTAAGCAACATCCAACTTGTGATTTTCAAAATTACTGAAAATAATTCAATGATTACAACATAATTATAAAAAATAAAGAATGGTTGCTGTGAACGCACACCAGAAAATACTTACAATTCACCAAGCCGACAACCCCTATGAAATAGTAATCCCAAACCACGCGCCCGTCACTCAAGTGGCGCCGACAAGTCTAGATTTGGGCAAAGACCAAAGTGTTTTGCAAAGTTGCAAGTCATTTTGCTAACTAACTGTCCGAATAATTCTCAGAACGGCTGTAATAAAATACAAATTGGAACGCTATTTTTGTTTAGCTATGTAATACATCAAAACATGAGTCTCGGAGAGAAAATGGAATTCTTTGTGTGAATCTCACTTGCATCCATGTTGATTTTAATATTTGCCAGAAAATTTTTGCTATATACTTTACTTGTGCAATATTTCAAACATCAGTGCGCTATACCACAAGGCAGTAAAAGTTTGCAAATAGACAAACCATAGACTTGGTATCGCAAGAATGAAATACTCTGAAATAATAGCTGCGTTAACACACACAGCTCCTTAGCATGGGCTAAGAGATCAAAATTGTTAGCTAGTACTAAGAAAACATGTGTAAACACTAATAGTAAGGGCTAAGAAACAGTAAATACAAGTTTTCAAAATCCGGTTTAGACCCTTAGTACAAGCTTAGCATGTTTAAATTTTACTCTTCTCGTATTCTCATAATTCTCATACAATCAGAAGCAAAACTAGTCCAAATATATTCATTGTATCTGGAAGATGAATTGACCTGATTGAGACATATCTTACTGTTCATAGTTAATGAGAAGTCTAAATTAATATTCAATTATGATGTGGTCAACAACATTCAAGTTAAGGCATTTTTATTTTAAGTATTTTTCAAGTTTTTAACTACCCGGTACTATTTGTGTAAGAAAATAGTTATTGACTGTAAATACATTTTTTTACAAAAAAATAAAAACATTAAATAAATACTACCACCCCAGTACTTTGTTTATCACTGCTTGAATGATGTTAATGCGAGTGTTGTGTTGTGTACATTGGCGGTAATACAAAAATACAGTGCCCGGAGGCAAAATTAAAATAAATAATGAACGAAATTTTCATGCAGCTACCTCCGCGAATTAAGCGAACATTTTTCTGTTCTACAGTATATCTCAATCATGTTCATTTTCTTTCTTTGTATAATAATCACTTGAATATAAAATCTTGATTTAAGGAATGCCATGAAAATTCTTGAGTTATTTTTTAAAACAAATCACAAGGCAATTACAAAAAAGAGAGGGACATGCAACTCTTTGAAAGAAAAGGGAATGGGTACTGCATCCATGCAACTTGGTTGAGATTGTCACCCAAGAGATGATACATCCTTCCAATAAGTCATATATGTACCACTTTTTGCATATAATCACTTCTATGACCTAGAATAGACGTTTACTGTACTTGCTCTACCAGAAGTGTATTTTAAATATAAAAGTGCACATAAACCAAAAATCACATTTATTTGCTCCATAGACACACCTGGGCCAACTACCTAAAGCATGCACTCCTTATAGGGGTGAAAACGATACTGTTTGATTGTAAAGTCATTCATCATGTGGATTAAAGCAAATATCCACTAGTTAATAATTAATAGCTAGTTGGTGAGACCAAAGAGAGAATTTGGTATTAATCCAATACCCTTTTGAAACATGGTTATGAAATCTACTTACGTTTGTGTACCTGCTTAAACTAATCTTAATAAAGTATATATATTTTCTCTGATCAGAACGAAGTTTATTATTTAATGACGATTCTCAGCTATCATCTCTCGTTCGACGAATTACTCGAGAAGAAGATCGTGATCGGCGACTTGTTGCCGTCAGACAACTGAGAGAATATCTATATCAAGCTGAGAATAACAAGGTAAATAAAAAAATGGCCTCTCTTTGTCTCTTATACAGCAATAAGTGTAGTACAATTCAATCTTTTGTTTTGTGATATATTAAGTCTTTATACAGTTAACAAACATGATTGAAAAGAAGTATTAATTTTTAGCGCAATTCAATTCTCAGTTTTGTATTTCTGCAAGTCTCAGAAATATTGGGCCATCAAACTATCATTCATGAATTATCTAATGTTTTGGATTTGAATAACTATAGATGGCTTATTTTAGAATTGACATTGCTTGGCTGCACTCGCTCTGGTATTCATCATTTTCAGGGTGGTTCAATGTGTATATGAAGGGTCTATTTAAAACTGATCAAAGGTTGGAATAATTGATTATCATTCACATCAAGTTGGGCAACCATAGTTACAATCCCACTATTGTTAAATTAAACATGTATAGATGAGTTAACAGTTTGTTGGTTTTAAATTCTACAAAATTTTGCCTTAATATTTCTATATAAATATTTCTTCTTACACTTTTCAATTCATAATTTGTAAAAAACGCAATATCAATGAATAAATTATTTTTTGTTGATATATCAATTCCTTACTTCATACTTAATAGTAAATCATACTTTATTGGTAATGTGATCTTGTCTGTAATTTATATTCTATTATGCAAAGTGAGTATTGCAGTGTCTGAGTCATCACTCGGTGCCAAAATTGTTCCACATTTAGTAGTATAACAGCTTGTTAATCCCCAAATGCTTCATGCCTTGCTCACATGTGCTTATATATTTTATTGTACATTTTCTACTTTCAGACTATTTTGAAAGTTGCTGACAGCTTATTAATTGCTTTGCAAGATGTATTTTATGAAAGGTATGTGTATTTATCTATTGGTGATATTTTCTATGACTTTACAATGACTTTACAATCAATCATGTTATATCAGCATCTTACAGAATGTACCAGATAAATTCTTACATAGCTTGTCAACTATCTCGCTTGAATTCTTATCTAATCCAGAGCTTTGAGTGATTTAAAGAAAGAAATTGCTGCTTGTATTGGAATAATTGGCAGCATATTCAGTTATGATGCACAGCGCTATTTTCAGTGGTTATTTGGTAAACTAAGCAATGCATCCGCTGACGAGACTAAAGGACTCTACCTTACTTCACTAGCACAGGTAAGATTGCCATTCATGATATGTTTATGTACAGTATACCGTAAAAACTCCAAAATTTCGACCCCTCTAAAAAATCGGCCGCCTAGTTATTTGCCGGGATTCGGTGTTGTATTTGTCTCCAAATTTTCGACTCCACTAAAAATTGCTGGCTCATTCTTATTCGAAAAATGCGACCAGCTTTGGTTTTCCCCCAAACGAAAAAAACACACGATGTGAGCATCCAAACAGGACTTTCCCCGAAGGCATGAATCCGGGTTTCTGATTGAATGAGAGATTTTTATTTTATTGGTAACGAAAGTATATTTTAACCGAAGTTTCAAATAAAAACGAACACAACACACATCTTCTACATAGAAGCAAATGATCATGGTTGCAAAATTCGGTCATGCTGCGTTTCTGAATTGTTGATTATAATAATTTAACATTGTGTACAGTGATAACAGCTCATTGTCAAAACGAAGCTTACCCGTTCACGCTAGTCACGATAAAAATCATACTCTTGACTAGACATCAATAACTATGGTAAAACTTAGACTATTTTAGCCGTCAGGAATGATTGAAATGTCCGAAAAATGACTCCAAAATACACCTTAAAAGTCCCATTTTATTTTCTTAAATCCCATTTTATTTTTTAATCCAAGGACGAATTTACGGCAGAATCTGGTCCCTCAAATAAGGGATACGTGAGCTTTGATTCTAACCGGATACATTGCACTGGGTCGGGGAGATAGTTTGCTAAACTTCCATGTATCTTTTGTCCAATGGGTATCTGTACTTCGAATATTCGCAAGTTTTCCTAGGTAGTGCGAGACAGCTTTGTCTTTTGACCTATTAGTTTTGACCTCTTCTCCGCGTCTTGATGTTTTGTTTTCCTTGTCATAATACTCACTGATTGATGACTTTGTTTTGATTTTGAGTTGTTTAGCCTACAACTCGGCCACAACCGTTGCTTTTACTGTGAAACATGGGGAAGTTTACGTCAATTGACGAACATTGCATTTTTTAAAAACTAACAAAGCACACTGTCTATTATCTCCATTTTTTTCATTTGCTGATTTCTATTATGAAAAATTCGACCGCCTGAAAATGCACCTTAATTTTGACTCTAAAAAAACGTCACATTTCCAACACAAATTATTTAAAACAGGTCGAAATTTTGAAGTTTTTACGGTTAGGTTACTTTTGCTAGCATGTTAATTTAGCTTCCATAATCTGTAATTTCACTAATTCAAGATGTAGCTGATTTAAAAGAAAATAAATTCTGACAATGATATTTGTTGGAGCTTTAGTTGAATTAATATTCTGTTAATTTGTGCATCCAGTCATGTTTGCTAAAATGGAATGTAGCAGTAAAGTAAAGCAGTACCGGATTCTGCTGTAAATTTGCCCATCTGAAAAATCGCTCTGGGCGATTTCATGGCTGGTGGGCCGTTATTTGGGGTTCAAATTTTCAAAAAAATTATCATCAAATATTTTTAGGGGGCTTATATTTTCATTGAAAAATCCTCCTAAGCCGATTTTCAACGCCGGCAGTTGGACCACCCAAAACGAAAGAAACTATTACAGAAGCTAATCTAAAATTTTATACATTTTTTTCTTGTTGGATTAAAAAGTAGACAGCGCATCTTTCTCCCAAAAAATCACAAATACAATTATATTGTTTCATTTGATTAGTAAAAGGCGTTTCAAATAAAAACGAACTGCATTGCTTAGTAGCAAATGATCACGGTATCGCAATCCGGTCATGCTGCGTTTTACAATTGTTGATTATTACCTAGTAATGATTATAATAACGTGCAAAAAATAAATTCATTGAATTGTTATGAATTGCAAATAAATTTCAACTTGTTTTATCGTAAGCGAATGATTCTGATCGCATTTTCAGCGCTCGATGCTGTAGAAATGAATATCTACCATGTTTGACCTGAGACTGTGTTCTTTGACCTGACAGGTCAAATCGATGATTAACCAATGAAAACGATGGATGATGCCAACGTGTTCAAATTACCATAGCTCATTTAAATATGTTAATGTTATTAAATGCAGCACGGAAGAGATTTGTCGATGTTGTTGTACGATCTTTTGGCTTGGATTTTGATGGAAAAGCGGCATGATTTGTTTTTAAATAAAAAAAAATAGTTGCTTTCAAAAGATAAACTGAGCATTTGAAGAATAATTTAAGATTGTTTACAGCGATAACAGCTCATTGTCGAAACAAAACTAACCCATTCATGCTAGTCGCAATAAACATCAATAATCTTGAATAGGCGTCAATGACTTCGGCGAAATTTTTAGGCCTCAAAAAAGATTAAAATAACACCTTAAAAAAACTGTCGAAAAATTGCCCTGGCGCGGTTTCTTGGTCTCAATTTATTTTTTTTAAAAACCAGAACTGCCGTTTAACGGCCCTGGGCGAATTTACGGCAGAATCCGGTAAGTACCAAGGTAGTCTGTATTTATGTACAAGATTTGAGTGAGAATGGATTCTTATGCATATGAATATTGTGTTTTATTGCTAATGGTTACTCATGTTTGTCATGTTTTTTTTCCCTGGCAGTCATTAACAGAGGATAGAGAGATTTTAGGGTTTGCCTCTGCTATTCCATATGTAATGACACATTTACAAACACTGTTGGAGAATGTAGATACCCCAGGTAAGCATGATTTAAATGTACTGAATATGCACCATATTTGTGTAATGTGGCAGTGTCATGCTGGTACAACCAAAATGTACATCTATGTGCTTCTGATAGAGCCAGTAAACTACATGTAATATATAGTTGTCAAAAAATCAATATTTGATTTGCAGTTATATATGTCTTCTATAACATATCAACAAAGTTATTAGACCATGTGCTGAAATGTGTATGCTAGCAGACAGATAACAATTGTTATATATGTCTTCTATAACATATCAACAAAGTTATTAGACCATGTGCTGAAATGTGTATGCTAGCAGACAGATAACAATTGTTATATATGTCTTCTATAACATATCAACAAAGTTATTAGACCATGTGCTGAAATGTGTATGCTAGCAGACAGATAACAATTGTTAGTGTTTTTATATTTTGTGTCTTTGTATATTGCATTTAGCGATTTAAGAAAAAGACAATTGTTCACTATCATATTTGCTTGTTTTATTAGATTTGCTAATTGCAACAGTCGACAACATTTGCTATGTGGCTGAAGTTTATCCATCCATATTTAGACAGCATTTCAGAGTAAGTTTTAGGATGCAATAGGATTCCCACAGTCGTTTTACATGTCCCTAACATGGCTTTGGTATTTTTAAGGCCTTAAAAAGGTCTAAAATACAATAAATATTTTGATAAAAAAACACAACAGATATTGTGTATTTCATACAGGACAATCTCTGATATCGTGAGTAAAACTGTGCGATGTCACATGTTTGTCATGTGAAAACTTTGATAATAACTGTGCCTGTGGGACAAAATACAGATGAATTTACAATGGGAAAATATCTGATATCGGGATTAGATTTTACTGTTGGATCACAGTAAGGGGGCCTGCACATTCTATGTATGATAAATTATATTTTCACAACTCAAAACCGGTTTGCTCACTTTATGACTGTTTTTACTGTGTATTACTTGTTTGCTTCAGACTGTTTGGATCAAGTAAGATTTTGAGTTATAAATAATATAATACATTTTAATTGCATATTCATTGATTTACTTTTTCCCCCCAAATTGAGTCTTAACAAAGCCTAAAATTTGATGAGTGAGGTCTTGCAGAAACATGCATTATCAAATAATCTTTGTTATCGTTATAAAAAAATGGTTATTTCTTCACAGGACACTGTAGACATATTAGTTGGGTGGCACATCGATACAAGTCAGAAAACATCTCTTACACGCTATACTGCAGGTAATAACACACAGTTGTAACCAGAGCCTTTGATGTCTCAATTGTATGAATTATATAAAATTGCATTTGAAAAATATTTTTAAGTGATACTAACATTGTTGCAAGGGAAGAAAAAATGGAAAAACAAGTTGTGATTGCGAAATTCCTTAAAAGTTGCATACTTCACTAGTATTACTGTGTTCAATATTGTATTATTTATATCTTGACATTTCCTAGTGTCCTTTAAAAGCTAGAAAGGTAATCCTAGCCCAGGAGAGGCATAGATATTGTTAAATTATGCAAGCATATAATCTGCTCAAGGACCATAAACCACCACAATATGCAATGATACTCTAGGATACTCTATGATTAGTGTCTCTGCTGTGGAATTGTAAAATGCCAATAGGCTGTCATGCATGTTCTTCTTTCTATTGTCTGAATAATGTATTACTGAACTAACTGATGCACGACCAGGATTTCAATATACATGGTTATTGAGTGTTGTTGTTCAGATGTTGAAAATTTTTTGCTGTAATTAATATATTATTCAGTGTTGTTTCTCAGATGTTATTGTTCGTCTTCCCTGTTTAGCCCAACACTCCATGGGCTTATGGATTGGGTCCTGTCTTTCGTCTGTATGTCTGTGGACCAATTTTTTCTGAAACTTGGTACATTCTTGATACTTGGTGGTTAACATATGCTCCAGATTTGTTTAGTCCCCGTTCGGATGCAGTTCGAAAACGAGGACTTATGGATTGACCTCTGTGCCTGTGTGTGCGTGCGTGTGTCTTAGAGATGCCTGGACCTGTATCTTAGACATGCCTGGACCAATTACATTCAAACTTCACACATACATAATAAATAATATTATACATATGCACATCAATTTGTTTCACGATCTGATTCAAGATGGCCGAATGGCAGCGTTATGATGACAGATGTATAATAATATTGGAGACTCATACATGTGAAGTTTTCTTTTAGTTCAATATATTTAGTTCACAGTGTAGAACTGGAGCATATAAATACTGACATTTCATATGTTGTATACTACGGTAAAGTAAGAGAACAGAAGTGGCTGTGACATTCTCAATGGCTTGTTACATTGATGTTAACAATTAACATAATTTTTTGCAAACATGAGATATATGATTTTGCTAACTCAGTTTTATATTGCCGCATTTCCTGTGTAACCTTGCAGGCTCATGATATTAATTTATGTATATTTTGGTTTTATAGAAACACTGATCAGTTTTCATGACTACTGGATTACTGACTTGGCCTTTTCAACCACATTACTCGCACAGTTTCTGGAAGACATGGAAGCCTATGCCGAGGTATTTACCAATATATATCTTTCTTTGTGGTCTTTGGGGCATTATTCACATTAACTCCGTTGTTAACAATATGGACAGAGCAGAGCTACTCATAAATTTATGATTGTTCATCATAGTCAACTTCCTCTTAAAAATCCATCAGCCATAGGACTTTGATACTTTAGGTGTTTCTTTCTTAGTTTGAATCGTTTTGTGACTTTAATACTTTAATTTCTAATTTTTAGTGAATGCTGCATTAATTTTACATGCTGCAGTTACATTGTTACTGTATTCATTTTACATGCTATTACATGATTAATGCATTGCATGGTTACTACATTCATACTACATGGTTACTGTATTCACATTACATGCTGTTACATGGTTACTGCATTCATGCTACATGCTGCACTTACATGGTTACTGTTTTCATATTACATGCTGTTACATGGTTACTACATTCATGTTACATGGTTACTGCATTCATACTACATGCTGTTACATGGTTACTGCATTCATACTACATGCTGTTACATGGTTACTGCATTCATACTACATGCTGTTACATGGTTACTGCATTCATACTACATGCCGCACTTACATGGTTACTACATTCATACTACATGCTGCACTTACATGGTTACTACATTCATACTACATGCTGCAATTACATAGTTACTGTAATAATATTACATGGTTACTGTAATATTACATGCTGTTATTTGGTTACTGTAATCGTATTACATGCTGTTACATCGTTACTTCATTCATACTACATGCTGCACTTATATGGTTGCTGTATTTATATTACATGCTGTTACATGGTTACTGTAATATTACATGCTGTTACATGGTTACTTCATTCATACTACATGCTGGCGGGCAGGGAAAGCAGCGTGGTGGCCTGCACACAAATTGAATGCTGGGGAGATCACTGTATTACATGCTTTTATATATTTACTACATTCATACTACATGCTGCTGTTACATGGGTACTGTAATTATATTACATGCTGCACTTACATGGTTACTTCATTCATACTACATGCTGCACTTACATGGTTACTGTATTTATATTACATGCTGTTACATGGTCACTATATTACATGATGTTACATGGTTACTGCAATATTACATGATTACTTCATTCATACTACATGCTGCACTTACATGGTTTACTTCATTCATACTACATGCTGCACTTACATGGTTACTTCATTCATACTACATGCTGCACTTACATAGATGCTGTTACATGGTTACTACATTCATACTACATGCTGCACTTACATGGTTACTGTATTATATTACATGCTGTTACATGGTCACTGTATTTATATTACATGCTGTTACATGGTTACTGTAATATTACATGCTGTTACTTGGTTAGTGTATTACATGCTGCAATTACATGGTTGCTGTATTCATATTACATGCTGTTACATGGTTACTTCATTCATACATGCTGCACTTGCTCACTGTATTTATATTACATGCTGCACTTACATGGTTACTTCATTCATACTACATGCTGCACTCACATGGTTACTGTATTTATATTACATGCTGCACTTACATGGTTACTACATTCATACTACATGCTGCACTTACATAGATGCTGTTACATGGTTACTACATTCATACTACATGCTGCACTTACATGGTTACTGTATTATATTACATGCTGTTACATGGTCACTGTATTTATATCACATGCTGTTACATGGTTACTGTAATATTACATGCTGTTACTTGGTTAGTGTATTACATGCTGCAATTACATGGTTGCTGTATTCATATTACATGCTGTTACATGGTTACTGCATTCATACTACATGCTGTTACATGGTTACTGCATTCATACTACATGCCGCACTTACATGGTTACTACATTCATACTGCATGCTGCGCTTACATGGTTACTGTAATATTACATGCTGTTACATGGTTACTGTAATATTACATGCTGTTATTTGGTTACTGTAATCGTATTACATGCTGTTACATCGTTACTTCATTCATACTACATGCTGCACTTATATGGTTGCTGTATTTATATTACATGCTGTTACATGGTTACTGTAATATTACATGCTGTTACATGGTTACTTCATTCATACTACATGCTGGCGGGCAGGGAAAGCAGCGTGGTGGCCTGCACACAAATTGAATGCTGGGGAGATCACTGTATTACATGCTTTTATATAGTTACTACATTCATACTACATGCTGCTGTTACATGGGTACTGTAATTATATTACATGCTGCACTTACATGGTTACTTCATTCATACTACATGCTGCACTTACATGGTTACTGTATTTATATTACATGCTGTTACATGGTCACTATATTACATGATATTACATGGTTACTGCAATATTACATGGTTACTTCATTCATACTACATGCTGCACTTACATGGTTTACTTCATTCATACTACATGCTGCACTTACATGGTTTACTTCATTCATACTACATGCTGCACTTACATGGTTTACTTCATTCATACTACATGCTGCACTTACATGGTTACTTCATTCATACTACATGCTGCACTCACATGGTTACTGTATTTATATTACATGCTGCACTTACATGGTTACTGTAATATTACATGCTGTTACATAGTTACTTCATTCATACTACATGCTTCACTTACATGGGTACTGTATTTATATTACATGCTGTTACATGGTTACTATATTTATATTGCATGCTGTTACATGGTTACTGTATTTATACTACATGCTGCACTTACATGGTTGCTTGTATTCATATGACATGCTGTTACATGGTCACTGTATTTATATTACATGTTACATGGTTACTGCAATATTACATGCTATTACATGGTTACTGCATTTATACTACATGCTGCACTTACATGGTTGCTTGTATTCATATTACATGCTATTACATGGTTACTGCATTCATACTACATGCTGCACTTACATGGTTGCTTGTATTCATATTACATGCTGTTACATGGTTACTGCATTCGTACTACATGCTGCACTTACATGGTTGCTTGTATTCATATTACATGCTGTTACATGGTTACTGCATTCATACTACATGCTGTTACATAGTTACTGCATGCATACTACATGCTGCACTCACATGGTTACTGTATTTATATTACATTTTGCACTTACATGGTTACTGTATTTATATTACATGCTGTTACATGGTTACTTCATTCATACTACATGCTGGCAGGCAGGGAAAGCAGCATGGTGGCCTGCACACAAATTGAATGCTGGGGAGATCACTGTAACACATGCTTTTACATAGTTACTACATTCATATTACATGCTGCTTCATGGTTACCACATTCATACTACATGCTGTACTTACATAGTTACTCTTCATATTGCATGCTGTTATATGGTTACTTCATTCATACTACATGCTGCACTTACATGGTTACTGTATTTATATTACATGCTGCAATTACATGGTTGCTGTATTCATATTACATGCTGCAATTACATGGTTGCTGTATTCATATTACATGCTGCAATTACATGGTTACTACATTCATCAGGGATTGCGTTAACGCGGAATTACGCGTCCGGGAAGCATAGTTTTTCTGTGGGACGCATGAATTTTTCAACTGGTGAGTCCCTGGGACGCATCCGGTGAGCACACGTCTCGGTCGTATTATGATAGGTCTAAAGGC